TGGTCTAATAAACTCCTGTCGATCGATACACTAATTTCTGGATATTCGCAGATAATTGGCGTACTGGACTCCGCAACGAGCACTCTCGCCAATGATCTGAAACAACTCGCACGCAGTAACGCGTTTACACGTCCGCGATATCCGTATATCAAGCCTCGTCGCGTGGATAATCCGAAAACTGTTCCACGTTATCGGCCCTTCATCATTCCGATCCAATCCCTTTTTTCCAATCACTGTACACTTTTTTAAACGGAGCAATGATGATACACCCGCGAGATTTTAATTAGATATTGATTTACGCGATAAGAAATTTTACTAGTAGGTTTAAAAAACTTTCAAGTAAGATAAGTGCTCAATTTATATTTACTGGCTCCTTTACAGGTACCATTTTAAGATACCATAAAATAGAAATATCAAGCGGTAGATAGTATGGATAACAGGAATTTAGGTATTTTCCTTAATGGAGGAAACACCCGAGGACAAACAAGGATCTTTTGTGTACCGAAATTATGTAATATAACGATTTTCAAGAGGCAATAATTATTTCCCTGTAAAACAATGTCGGTTATGTCCTATGAAGTATTCTGAAATAAGTTCATCTGAGTCGATTTTGTTTAATGACGGTTACTTGTAATATTCTGTTAGAGATGTATTGGTTATATAGATAATGCATAAGATCTTTCTTGTAGAGAACGATGAGATCTACAATTTCCACGTAAAAATTTTCGCTAGCGTTAATAGTTAACGAGTAATTTGAGATAGTTCCTTCTATACTTTTTAGCACGTAGCTATCTATTATTAGCATTATTCGTCCGACGTCTGATTTCTTTTTAATTATAGGAAATGCGTTTTTCTAAGGTACATAAACCTTTGGGATTGACTGTATAGCCAATACATCCTTAAAAGATCACCCACTTAACGCAAACGCATATAATAGCTTTTGTACTGGGCACTGAATAATCTGTTTTAATAGACGAAACGTGTCTACTCGAGTATCTACTCTTACTCGAGTACTTTCTGATTTTATAGGCGTCATCGACTCATCCTAATGATTTGCCTTCTTTTAGCCTTGACCATAACGGACTGGGTCCGTATTATCCGCAGGTAAAACTGTCAATACCTGAATTTCCCTCTTCATTTATACATAAAAGAATGTTTGCAGTTGAACATTTTTTTGTTGCAAATTAAAAGACGTGAACGATCCTAAAAATGGAGTTTCAATATACTTTTTTTTTGTTTCAATGCCTCATCGTTCAGTGATCAGAATGGAGCGCGGATCGAGGTAGCTAACATTATTGGATGGAACGTAAAATACGTGAAACGGGCTTATCGTACCCGTCAATGGTCGTACGGTCTCTGCGCGCGGACGTAATTTCCACGCAAGCGAGGGTGGACCGAAACCGACGGGCATATAGATTTCGCATAAAGCAACGTTACTCCGCGCGTTCGAGTAAATCAGACGTTTAATCAAACCGTTTAATCAGTGGCATGATTGCGACCGCATCTGTGTCGGCTGTTCGCGGCAATTATCTCCTGCCGAGTTGTCAACCTACGGCCGCTTCCAAATTTCCAAAATTCCCGATCATTTATATTACAATTTTTTTCTAATTAAATAATCGATCGTTTGCATTTTTATTTTTCAGATCTGCGTCAATGAATCTCTTTCGATAAAAGTCCTGAGGTGAACTCTCTGAAGTTCGTCTGTATTTTTTCATCGCGTTTGGAAAAGGAATTTTATGTTTATAAGTCGCGCGACGAATAAAGTGACGAGTGTCGTAGTTTCACAAATTTCGCAATCCAATCGCTTTGCGACAGTCCCGTTAGACCGATCAAGACGATTTCCGTTAGACGGAAAACGCGCGCAGAGGTGAAGTCTGCAGGTAATTTTTCTTTAAATGCCCCCAACTTACGACGACATTAAAAATGTCTAATCTGAGCCGAGGGATTATTTCAATTAGTACCTGCAATAAACTATACCGTACGCTGGAGTCGAGCCTGGGTTGAATCGTTGTCATTTGAAGACGATCTTGAATTATCAGGAAGACATACCTGGTCACTGGTCAGAGGGTAGAAGTATCTTGTTCTGCTGGTCGTAAAAAAATCTCGGGGTTTAGGTAACTGCCGTAAACGGATTGCGAGTACAAAAAACCATCGGAAGGTTTAGGAATTAACTGATTTTTATACTACCGAGGATCTGCAGGTATGAGCATCTTCTACCCATTTGCCTTTCAAGTTTGCGAATTAAACCCTTCGGCACTCTAAAGGAAACGTCTAGTTGTCCTGCAGGTATGCTAGTCAATTGTCAGATTGAGCGGTTTAGTACCCCTTTACAATCGGGGTAAATGTCTGTTTTCATCAATAGTTCATAGTTTTCAAAGTATCCCCGAAAATTTTGGGTTCATGCGTCGCATTCTCGATTCGATGTTGAACAGAAGCAACAATTCGACCATGAGACGAGTAGATACAAAAGTTGTCTGAAACGCACATAGACCCTCGTAATGGTAGCTTCGCGCTTTTCTGGAGCACCGTTCCACAGCTTCACGGTCGTATAACGGGGCTGTTTGCATTTCAAATTCGAAAAAAGGACCGATCGTTTCTTTGTAGTTGAAGGGACTTAGACTTACGCAACAGATGCTCTAGATCTAATTACTGGCCATATATTTTAGCGAAAAGCCAGTATTTCAACCGCCGCTGTAAAAGCAATAGAAAATAATGCTCCGTTTTTGGGGAGAGTAAAAAAGACAGGTTTGGAAAAAAGATCGGTGCCGTTTTGCCTATTCCAATAAAAACCGATAAGTTCACTGTTCTGAACGATGACTTATGTCCGGGTGGTACCGTTGCTCTCGTTTTGGTTTGAGGTCACATCTACAACAAATAACGTTTTACAACCGTTGCGCTGACAGGTAATGCCGGTACCTAATAGGCACTGATTTACAGTTAAACAGTTTTTTGACTTAAAAAAATTCGTCTACGAATTCATCGAAATGCCATTGGAATAAAAATTATGGAACTCCGTTTTCACATATGTAGAAAAGTTTCGCAGTTCAAAACGATTCGTATTAATTGATTAATATTCAGTTTTTTTAGAGACGGAGTAGCAATTTTGATGGCCGAATGAGAAATTGAGAGCAGAATTATGATACCTGCCCAGTGAATATTAACAAATTTTATCGGGGTTGGGAATCAAAACGCCGACGGTTTTCCACTAAATTAAAACGAAATCAAAGCACGGTTCGGGCCTCGTTCGATCGGTGAAAGAGATTGGTTAATGATTAAGTAGTAGTAGAAATGTGGTGTCGTCGTAAACGTCGAACGTATCGGGTACGGGTCGTGCAAAAATAATTACCAATCTCTGATCCAATTTTGAACACGCTGTCCGTTTCGTAGGAATTGCCGCATCCGCGTGTTCCTGCATTTTTCCCGGTGATTCATCATCGTTTATTCATTCAATGCGTAGCCAATTCGCTTTTGTCCTCGGGTCAGTTTCGATGGAACTGTTGACGAAATGATCTAATCGCATTTACGTTCGATGATCGTTACCTCTTCGCTCGGGACAAGGTTTGCGAAGAGAGTTGGCTCATCAACATTTTATTATCATTCCGGTTTTCTTTCATCACGTTATCAATTAAAAATTCGCAGCGTCGAAGAATTCGTTTTATGGACACAGTTGAGAACCGAAGATACCGGGGAAAAAAAATATTTTCAGAAGTAAAGCTATTCTTACAGAAAAATTTCTGTAACAATAAGAGACCGGATGTAGAATAACGTCATAAAAAGCAAGGAACTCTGGTTTCTACCACTATTACGACGTTTTCGTCAGACGCGACTGTCCTCGTAAAAACTTTGCTCTATTTTAAATGACCCTGCGACTGTAAAAATTGCACCATTCCCTCGTACCTACATTTTCCTATTGTGAGCCGTAGCCGAAATTTTACCGTGGAAAACGATTTGAAATTGAAGTTGCAAAAAAAAATCAGAATTGATGTTTATAAAAAGGATTTTGAAATTACGAAGAGATCATTCGTTATAGCAAACGTTCTGATTTTTGTTCAAGTCGCTATTTCTTTTCATTGGTTTTTTTTCTAACATTTTATATGTAATCTTAAATCAGTGAATAGGTATGAATACACTTTTGGGGTCAGAGCTTCCAAAAATTCTGAATCGCATTTTATTTGAACAAAATTGATTACAAATGATTGTAAAATTTTTTTCAACAGCTCGTAAATTACAGTCGATCATCAACAATTTCGAAGAAGAAAAATCTTTTCTTCTACCATCTATTCAAATTTTATTCAAGTCGATGGATGCTCTCTGCAAATTAATCGTCCATTATTTCTTAATGAATGGAGGGAAATTCTCGAGACAGCCTGATCAGTATTCGATCGATCCTCCGTCGAATTTTATTCGAGTCTCGAAAGTAGTCTGCGTACGCGAGGTAGCAAGGATAAAAAAACAAGGTAGCGCGAGAGTTCCTCTGCAAAATTGAAGTTCATCAGCAGCGAGGAAGTTCGCCGAGGGCCAATTCGACCGAATTTGCGCGGAGGAAATAACGAGAGATAATTTCTGCGAGCTCGCATGGACGGAGCTGATGCCGGGGCATCTCGGGGAGAGAGAAAAAATGTATCTCTTCGGTGGAGTGGTAGGGATACGAGCAGGGGTGAACGGGGAGATATGAGCAGAGGCGTGGGTGCTATCAACCAATGGGAGAACAAGGATTCTGTCCAACCGAGGGACCCTTGCAAAACGATGGTCGCCTGGTGGGGCTATATAAGTCGAACGTTCGCCAGTTTGTGTTCCTTGTTATACGATTCTACTTCGGTCCGAAGCATCGCACCAATCAGAGTGTCGATTAGCGAGATCAGTTCAAAACAGAAACAATCACATTCTTTTACGCCGAGTTGAACGCTGCTCATAAGATTAGTGAACAGTGGTGAATAGAGGACAGATTGTTTCGTTAGTGAATTTAAAAAAAAACTACGGTAAATCCGATAGTAGATGAGATGCAAGGCTATCAAAGGAATTTCGAGGAACAACAGAGGGATCAGAAGGACGAGGAGACGATCGTGGTAGACCTCGTGCCACCGCCGTATCAGTTCAGTCCTCCGCATAGTCCACAGCCGCTAAGCATACCCAAAACGCCCGAGAAAGGTGAGATTCGAATTTCAAAATCATTAGATACTTCGATCAGTTAGAATCGATCGATTCAAAAATTACTGTGAGATCAGTGCGAGAATGTCGTTTCATGTGTTTAGAATTCTCGACTCTCAATATCAATTTCGTAAACAGTACGGTTTGATATCTGTTATAAATGTCGATCGGATTCTCGAGCCAAAACATAACGAATGAAAGACATGGATAAACGATTTGCTTTGACAAATAAAAGACGGATTCTTGTAGAATTTTATTCTGAGAATCAATCAGGAACTTCGGTACAATATGAGGCTGTTAACTACAACTTGGATGTTACTTTTAGCTGGCTAAGTTAATTCAATTGTTTGTTTGTTTATTGATATTACGGTAATTTCGTCGGGTTTCGAAATTTCGTCGGAGAAAGACCGTTGTAAACGATAATAAAGATTTCAAAGCCCGGGGCTCATCGCAATATACTTCTTACCCCAAAGGATCCGTTTATTATGAGACCTCCGAGGTAATTGCGCTCTTGAGCTAGTCCTCGTTTTCGTTCGCAAAAATATAAGCAGTTTTTTTATGCCATTAATCTTGCTAGCCGTCAACGGGCATTCGTAAAGAAAATTTAGATAGAAGGTTGATTCTTTAGATTCGAACGCCGCGTCAGGGAAACCGAAGAGAGTCCAGCATCCGTTTCGGCGCCTCGTACCATGCTTTCCATTCTCGTTTACACGATTTCAAACGCGAGCACCCGCTGCTTCCGGGAGCGACGGTCTGTAACCGCATTACGAAAACAAGACCGCCTTTCCCGAAATACCAGGCGGTGACAAATTGTGGCCTGTCCGACACAAAGCGAACTTCCGAAACGTTTTCCTCAAATTCTTGCTGCACATGTACTGTGTAAGACCTTTTGGCATCAGATAATAAAAACCAGGATCAGTGAGTAATATTTTGGATGTGTTTGATTAACAGATACCTCGCCGACGCAACAGCAGCAACAGTCGCTGTCGTCTATGGACCCGAACATCAGACGATACAGGACTGCTTTCACGCGGGAGCAATTGTCGCGATTAGAGAAGGAGTTCCATCGAGAGAATTACGTGAGCAGGCCGAGGAGATGCGAATTGGCAGCTCAACTAAATCTGCCGGAGTCGACGATCAAGGTGTGTACAGAAGATTTTAATTGTTGAGAAGCCAATTAGAAAAATCGTTTCATTCCATCCGCGCACCATTACGACTGAATATTTATCGAGGATAAGTAAACGTATCGCAATAAAGTTCAGTAAACAGTGAGCTCATCGATTGGATACGTGCGCGCGTAGAGAAAAGTGTTCTATTAACACCTCGGTCTGTTTAATTATTGTCGGTGATCGACGGTCAGGACTTGGGAAAGCCTTGAAGACCGTCCAATTGCGTAATTACCGTCGAGCGTTCATTCACGGTAGCCAAACATTCCGCTCGCTAAATGATCAACACAATTCCTGAATCCCAGTCGCGAGTGTTCAATGACTTCGGTGAAATTTTGTGACCGCGTACAAATAGTAGCAGTCTTGAGATATGACACGAACGGGACGATGACCGTTTCAAGAACCGGAACCGACGTCTCAAGTGTTTTCGACCCCTGAACAGATTTGACGGGAGAAAAAGGATAACGGGGCGATTAAGAGTTTTTACTCCCGCGGGATGAACGAGTGTTCTTACGCGAACCGCAATGTTTGCGATCGTAGCTCGGGAGAAGCCACGGCTGGAGATTCTTTACCTCTTTTTCTCCTTCCGACGGCCGCGCAAACAGTCAATCACGAAGGGCAAACACTCGCCCCTCGGATCTTTCGGCTCGCCTCGAATCCGCCTGATCCTTTTTCCGTGACTTCTTAATTTCTCTCAGCCTGGACCGGTCGATCCGGTCGGAGGTGTTAAGCACTTTAATTAGCGGTTTTCCCGGGTTACCTTTTGACTTTAATGGATCCCTTAATTTCTCATCTCGCGCTACCACGGCCGCACAATGGCTATAAAACCATCTACCGATGGAAATGATCGAGGTGTTAAATGGTAGAAACGTTAGGCACCGGTCTCCGTCGCTTTATATTCTTTCCAAACATCGGAATCTTCGCTCGTATTAAACGAACAAAAAATCATCGTCGATGATTCTGATTTTGAACGAATCTAAATTTCCAGGTCTGGTTCCAAAATCGTCGCATGAAGGACAAGCGACAGAGAATGGCAATGGCATGGCCGTACGCGATGTACACAGATCCGACGCTCGCAGCCACCCTCTTAGCCGCCGCGACGGCTTCTCTGCCCCCACCTCCGTACCACGGCGCCCCGGGTCTACCGTCGTCGCACCTGGCCCCGAACTACCCTGCAGCAGCTGCCGCGGCTTATTACGCAGCCAGATACACGCCGTACCAAACAGTTCCGACGTCCGGCGCGTCGTCGCTTCATCGGCCACATCCGCGCACCGCGGCTGCTTATCCGGCGCACCCACACCTTCTGCAGCATCACCCTTCGCTACCGCCGCTACATTTGTCCGGTTTGGGCGTTCCCACGGTCGGCAATACCGCCTTCCAGGTGAGCAGTCCACCCACGAGCTCGGCGACCACCTACAGACCGACCATGCTACCGGAACTGAGCCCGGTACATTCGGACACCTCGAGCGACTGCGACTGCGTCGGGAGCAATCACTTGCGCCATATCATCACCGGACACCACGGAGAGAAGACCAGTCCGACGGCCAACACGCACCCCAACTCGGAGGTCAAGCTATCGCCTGGTGTCGTCCCAAACAGATTCGCGACGATCGATGAATTCAATAGGAAAAACTCGTACAACAGTCTGATCACGGCGCCGAACGTACAGGCTAAAATCGAGCCGCCGAAATTGTTCCAACCTTACAAGAACGATATGACCGAGATAGCGTAAAGGATTGAACTTTAACCCTTGTTCATTGTGTCTAAAGGCGCTAACTTGTGTGTGACTGAGATATACTGATACATAGATATAGTTGTATATAAATCGATGTCCACTGATATCGATTTTAACGTAGTTTAAGGTGTAAATAGTTTCCAGACGCGATTAGGCTAGCATTGATCAAGTTAGAAATATCGTAGATGAAGCCTAGCGAAGGCCTTGTACATAGTATCTTGTATATATTACGTAGTAGTATGCGTGGACACATGCTGTTCGAACTGCCGGTGGAAATCGAGACTGAGTATTTATTGCGCGATGTAAATAACGTATACCTATTGTAAAGAGTCTGTACCTGTTAATAATCATAATGAATCGCTTCGCGACTATACATTGTATAGCGGAGCCGGAGGTTTTAAATTGCTTTAGTGTAATTAAACAGTTAGAATGTTTTAATTCAGTTACTTGTTTTAACTAATTTATTATCGTCGTTATCTACGAGTTATTAGATACACGCGAGGATACCATTTCCCAATTTTTAACTGATGACTTGACGTGAATGGCCAATAACGTTCCAATTAGACTGTCGATATTTATGCTTCACGGGTAACAGCGACACATTGTATGTGTACATATTGATATAAGCGTGGAGTGATTATATATAAAAAATATATATATATATATATACATATATCAGTCGATTAATATATTTTTAAGCTGCTGGATATGTACAGATATAGAATATAAATTCGATTCTTCTAAGACCTAACACTAATCGATGCTCTTATTCATTCTCTCATTCCCATTAATTATCGATCCCCTACCAACATTTAACAACGTTCTCTAATAAAACACGCGTTATGTAATAATTATTGTTTGAACAATAAACATTCGATCGGAATGAGAAAAATTAAAGATCGAATTAGAGAATGCTGGGAACCGTTTTGATAGTCAATGAACATTTTTACGAATCCAGAGTCACTTACGAATAATGACGGATCGCGTTGAACAAATATAAATAGCTGGAACGACAATATCGGTTGCAGCCCCCTCGCGAGGGTGCCGCAGGCAATTAACTCCTCGAACGATTCTGACAGGGAAACGAGATAATTCCGTATAAACGCCACCAGCTTAACAACCCATTGAGGTTTAACTATGAATCTACCACCACCCACGCCACGACTACCCTCGTTCGAAATCGACGGACCGTGTGCGCTGCGGGGAATCATTGGGGTGTGCAAACGTGTCCAGCAGGCAAATATTGCTTCTTACAAGATTGATCACTAATTCACTTTTCTATTCTTTAAATCGTGCAATTCGAGATTAATATATAGTGTGACGTCAAAAAGATCTGGCTAGGAAGTACCGTCAGCTCGGACATACCTGTCATCCATAAAATCATAAAATTTTAGGGTGGAGGGTAACTGACGAAAAAACTTACCACGGTGATCGACCGTCATAAATATAAAACGAGCCGTTTTGTGAATGGACCGTAAAAAAATCATCGAAAAAGTTTGGGAAGAAGACTATCGACCGGAGTCGAAACCTTCGTCGAACCGACGGCTTCGTCAGGAAATTACAAAGTATTAGGCGCTATATTATCTACCTAAAAACGTATCGTCATAAAGCTTTTTAAGCAAGGCAACTATTAACGCCTTAGATTTTTTCAGCCTCATCCTGTTTAAGGTAACTTGACAAAGGTCGTTAGACTGTTACCCGCACTTAAACGTGCGCAATTACTAAAAGACCTAAATAATAAATCCTGTGCAATAAAAATTAACACTTGTTTTTAAGATTGATCATTCTCTCCCTCTGCGATCCCAGCGAGTTTCTTAAATATTAATATCCAATTTATAGCTTCGATACAAGTATCATCCCCAATATAGTATACAAGGTCGTCCCTTTCAAATTACACTAGGAACCCTCGATTCAGCGGGTAGTCACCCCTCTCGGTCAGATGGTGGCCATCTCTCGTGGAATCACTACCGATCGTACAATTGCATTATCTTATCTGTCGAGCCATTAGGTGCCATTTAGACGACTCCTTCTTAACAATCTATTTTCAGGATTGTCCGAGGGGTAGATCGCGAATAGTCTCCTTGCGTCAGGATAATAAGCGAACGATAGCTTCTAATTTTGTATTTTTTAATGAATTTCACATTTTGTGTATTCATATTTTTCTTTCGGTTTCGATTTTATGACCGACGAAGAAAACGATACTCATTTCTTTTTACGTCAAATAAAGGTGTCTTTTTTCTTCTTCAATGCTATTTGGTGTTATAAATATTTTGACAATTAAGTTTGCAACATTTTCCAATTTCCACCTTTCTTGAATAGCTCTAGATTTCCAATGTATGACATTTTTCGTATAGCTTGCTGTTCTGTTATGAAGCGTATAAATTTCTCAAGTAGTTAGTGAAAACTAATCTTATATTTCCTAGTGTAGATTCAGTGTCTATTTTCATCTTATATTTTTCACTGAATCAAGTTCTTCTTTTTATAATCTTTCTTCTTTTGTTTCTTTTTTATATATTCCTCAACTTCAACATAGTTTACTTCTTTTTCACTCTCTTTATCTGAATCAGACATAAACTTTCATCCTCATCGCCATTGTAAGAAATTTATAAATGAATACACAATGTGTATATTTCTGTAAACGTCCTTCTTTCTTAGAAACTGACCAGGTCTCGAATCAACAGGTCAATGCGTACTGAGCTATCTCTTCGATGAGCCGAGGTATACCTTCGGATGGGTCTAGCTTCGGTTCAAAAAATTTGATCTCAGCAGAAACCTTTCACTGATGTCCACTGTTTGGCAGACTCGGTTACGAATGTCGAACTTTGTTAAAAATTTTTTCCGGGCATGAAATTCGAGATTTGATTCGCAAGGGATGCGCTCTCGGCCGGGGGTTCCTGCGTCGCAGATCTTGCGGACATGTAACTTTGTAGTTCGCAGCTGCGGGAGGTCTATGGAGACGTGACCAAAAGCTGTCAACATTTCTTTACGGTGACGAGACAAACTCGATCACGGCTTAAACCAGCTTCAGAAATTCCGCTCCCCCGTTTCTTCCGACGAGAACAAAAAGGAATCCGGCTTCCTGCGGTCGTGACACCACTCGACGAATCCACTCACGATTGTTCTCCAGATATCGAGATATTTGTAACGGCATCCGATCCACTTTTTCATTTCAATTTATTTTTTTTAACAGCGAATGTCCAGAATAATTCAGGGAATCAGGGAGAAGAGAGATAGAATTTCCATTGTTCATTCGATTTTACGAAATATCTCCGAGCCTCCGAGATTATCTACGCGTTACGCAAGAGCGTCACCGGTTGGAAGCGTTGGAACCCGGTTGTTCCGTAGTGATTTTCAGAAATTTACGGGGAGGTCCGTGACGAAGGGACATTAAGCACAATATTTGGGTGAAGGCGAACCTGTGGCTAATTGAAAAGTCAAAACTGTTGAAAGCAGCTCCCTGTTAGCCGTGAAAGCGTGGAGGCGTAGCACCCCACGGGACGTCCCGTGGCGTTTACGACAAAAAGGGGGATGTTCAGCGTTCGGCACCCCGGCTGTGATCGAACCATGACGACTGACGCACCTTTCCTGGCATATTTCTTACTTTGTACAAAGAAAATTCATCAAGCTCCTAGCATACAATAATTATGTACGCGTTAAAGCATAGATTCCTTGAGAAGTATGGCTCGTGGACACTGATAATAATTGTATATTCTATCGATCTGATTAAAACGAAGAATGTGAGGTCATTTCCAGGATTCGAGTAATACCGAAGTCTGTTGGGCAACAGGAGCCATAAGGTTCGTTATATGGCCGGTTATAATCATAAATGGCACAAACCGAACGATCTGACTATACCGTCTATTTCTTTTCGCACCGGAGGGAAAAAACGGAGCCTTTACGAGACCCATGAAGGATCCAGTTAGCGTTCCACCGAAGTTAACCCTTTCTACCGTGAATTTTTTTTTCCACACGGTCTCGGGAGCCTGATCCTTCCCGTAATTTTGCGGAGACCACAGTTTTTGCACTGGTTCTTGTACCGTTTTTTACCGAACGCGATGCACAGTTTTCTGACCCAGAAAAAAATAGTACCGCTGCGGGTCGCGAGAAGACCAGCGAGAGATCTCTGACTCTCCATGGTTCTCGTTGGAAAAGTACTCGCTCAGTTTCACGGGTCCCGCATTTTTTGTTTCGGTAAAAGTTTCGCGAAGATAACTTTCCTCCGATCCTCCCTCTAGGTAAATATTGTAGCGAGTGATCATAGAAAGGGAAGACCGTAACTCGGCACGTTTTAGCTACCCACGCGACGAGACATGTCTTAAAGTATGGAATTCAAATCCGTAAAGGTATTTTCTGGCTGAGAAACTTCGAAGATCATAAAAATTTTTTCTGCTTAAATTGAAACTTTATGTAAATTGTTCTTCATTATATACCTGTTTTTTTCTAAAATTGTCGTATACGATAGCTTGTAAAGTAATCAACGGGTTTACTTAACGAGTCTGACGTATTCCGAAGTTTTAATGCACTGGAATTAAGTGCATAAGAATATTTTAAGTCGCGTCACAAGAATCAATAAACGTGAATCTGACCGAAGTGAAACTAAATACGTCTATGCAATGCAGGGTTCTCATAATTTGTCCTTCGGCCGGAAAGTGGGGACTGGTACTTGATGGGGGTATGCCCAGGGTGCGTATAATTTTTCCCTCACGGCTCACTTCCCCTCTCTTTCGCCCGTATTTCGAGCCCCATTACTATTCCCCTCATGCGCCTTCGCTGACCATGCCTAGCACACCCCCATCAAGTACCAGACCCCACCATGGTCGCGAAGAAGAGGGGAAGCGAGCCGTGCGGGTACAATTATGAGAACCCTGATACAATGCCTGATCGTAATCGATAGTTCGATCGTAGCATAACATTTCCCTCATAAACGGTAGGCATGGCGAATTCTGATGCGTGGCGGGTGCCAATAAATAACTGTGCCATATTAGTTTCGAGTCAGA